ACACACACACACACACACACACACACACTTGCGCCACGCTTCTTTTTAATGAAAAATAACGATAACATCCACGACTTTAAGTAGTATAGTATACATTAACGAAACTGTTTAGGAAACCTAAGGAGAACTACACTTAGGCCGAACGCTCATTTACATATATCTAATATTATAAAACGATCTTCATGAACGAACTTCTCTCCAGAAGAAGAATTTAGTTTAGACGAACGCTCAAAGGAAAACTGAACAGTCAATACTGACTCTTGGTTATAGTTTACAAAATTTTGCAGAGTATTACAGAGTGACACTTAGACAATAACCCTAAAGCATGAGAAATTAGTTAAGACCATGCACTTCCATGAATAATCGAACGATCACTAATGACGCACGACCATACTACAACATTTACTCAAAATATTACAGTTTGAAGATCAAACCCTATCTCAACTCAGTTCACACCATTTATCAATCATCCATCACACATCTAAACATGTAGTAACACGCATATTTCATACTCATCAAATAATCAAACAAAGTATCATACAAACATACAAACGTTCAAAACAAGAATCTTAATCAAATTATATAAGCTTCCCTTACCTCTAAACGTAACCGAACGCTCACAGATGCAGAATAGAGCTCACCACTATCAAAGACCTTAACATTCGATAGTCACGCATTAAGAAACTAAACCAAACAAAAGACCAGAAATACTCAGAATAATACGATTCGCTCATGCAACCAGAAATCTGGGTTTACATGCGAAAAGAACGAACGTGCTTAGGAGAAAGTAACTCACCGACTTAGAACCACAACCCGATCGATTTAAACGAAAGCCCTTGACGCCGGGAGAGTTCAAACAGTGTCTGAGAGGTGATCGGAAGAAGAAAAATGAGATTTTCTTAGAGAGAAGATGAAGGAGATTTAGAGAGAAGGAGGAGAAAATGGTTTCAGTAGTTTGGAGAAGAAGGAAAGCATGCAGAGAAGTGACACGACATTTGAAATTTGGCATTAAATACTGCCTTCACTAAAACCGAACGACCACTCTCCTGCAGCCACCTGTTTTCCACTAACTGAAACGTTGACTCTCTCCTTGGCACTTTGCTCCCACTACTTGGGGGTTTTTAGTGGATTTTAATAGATTCTGACAATTGTAATTTTAATTGAAAAGAATTAGTATACCAAACTAATATATTAAAGTTCAATTTTGACTTGTTGACAAATTGACTAAACGAGTCAAAATATCCTAACCCAATTTGTTGGCGTGATCAGCTTTATATTTTTATACAAGTTTTAGTAATTATATAGTTACTATTTTCCTATTTATAATGTTTTTCTAAAAAAGTTTAGGACCATATTATAGCCACAGTTTTCTTATTACAATATGTTTTTAAACAAGTTTTTAACAATTTATTGGATAGTGGTTTGGGAAATAAAAAGAATCACGCATTTTACACAAATTGGTCAATACTATAAATATCTACGAGAAATTAATATTTTAACTTGTAAGATATTATTAGAAACTTGGTTAAGGGTGGTAAACAAGAAAGATATATAAATATGTAAGTGATAGATGTGATTACAAAA